CAACGGAGTCGCTACCCGTTCTGAACGGAGGAGGCAGACAGCGCGATGCCATTACAGCACGTGTTATTTACTTATTGTTGTTTATCGTAGCATACCTATCGTTCATGATCGAAATTGAGCATGTAAAAGCTTGTCGGTTCATGCGGAATGTCTGGAGCATGACGATGAAACTGCTGTAGATTTAATCCATTATATTGGAGAATCTGTTTTAGTCTTGTCGTATTTTTTCATTTATTTATATATATTTGTGGCCCTACATCACTTTAGTATCTTTGACTTGCTGCCTAAGCATTATAAGTTGTAGCTAATCTAAATCAGTGTAGTTCCCTGTAGTTTAAATATAGTTTTTAGCTGCTACTTAATTGTACATTGTTAAATATGGTATTATTTTTGCCGTTCAGATGCAGTTACTTAATGTTAAACACATTTGTTTTATGAAATTGTAGAATTATATTTTAGAGCCCTAAAGTACATGCCTCATGCCGTTTTGAAATTGCTAGAAAATATGCCGATGCCTTGGGAACAAATTCGTGACGTTAAAGTGCTCTATCACATAACGGGAGCCATAACATTCGTTAACGAAATCCCATGGGTCATTGAACCAGTGTACATTGCGCAGTGGGGGTAAGTAAATTCTGTCCCTTAAAATGGATTTTATTGAATAGCACTTTTACTAATTTACATTTTAGTTCCATGTGGATTATGATGCGTCGAGAAAAACGTGACCGAAGGCATTTTAAACGCATGCGCTTTCCTCCTTTTGACGATGAGGAACCACCGTTGGACTATGCGGACAACATTTTGGACGTGGAGCCGTTGGAACCAATTCAGATGGAACTGGACTCAGAAGAAGATAAATCGGTCGCTAACTGGTTTTATGAACATCGGCCCCTAGTCGGCACGAAGTATAAATATACTTATACTTCAATATTAGATAATTTGCAGAATGTATACACTTGCATATGTTATATTACTCTTCTTTTTGTAAGAATAAGACCTCGTTTGCACCATGAAAACCTCCGACACAGTATTTCATTGTTGAACTCTGAAGCCTTTGACGTTGAGTCAGCCAATATCACATGGGCTCTGGCAAATGCCATTTTTGAGGTTGACCTGTCTCTTAATTTAATAATCGATCGAAAAGCACAGTAGTTCATATGAACTCTCATCCATATTTATCTCTGATGAAAAAGTCACATTATTTTGCGCCGTGCACCCAGTCCTTTCAATAATTGATTATGCATACTGTATTAATATTAGAATTGTGTTTGATATTTTGGTACAATTTTTTGTTGTTTGGTTTATGTTCGTTCCTACAAATAATCATTAACGCTTCCAGTTTTGTGAACGGACCGACGTATCGTCGTTGGAACATGACTTTGCCAATGATGGCTACGTTGTACCGATTGGCGAATCAACTGCTCACCGATTTGGTTGATGACAATTACTTTTACCTGTTTGACGTGAAGTCATTCTTTACGGCCAAAGCACTGAATGTTTCCATACCCGGTGGACCAAAATTTGAGCCGCTTATTAAAGATCAGAATCTACAGTAAGATTACTATTATTATTTTATATACAATGTGACTGTTTAAAAAGAGAGCATTCTTTTTAAGGGATGAAGACTGGAACGAATTTAACGATATCAATAAAATAATCATTCGGCAGCCTATCAGAACCGAATACCGAATTGCGTTTCCATTTTTGTACAATAATTTGATCAACATTCTTCCAGTGCAGCTTTGCTGGTAGGCGGAACAAAATTTGCGAAGCGTGTTTGGTGCACTGTTCCATATTAGTGTGAATTTTAACGTTTTGATTGTACATATAAGTCATGCAGTCGAAAGGGGGCAGGGGCCGTTACGCCGATCAGAAAAATTTCCTTGGGCCCCCGCGCTGACCATCTAAGGTCCGAATTCGTGATGTAGTAGTTTCAAAGTTTGTTTCTTCTGGCTGAGGCTGATTGTTCTTTTATGTATACTTTGAACTAGAGAAAGGCAGAACGCGAAAGAGCACCCACGTTACGTCAGCGGTACCTGCTTGTTAATCAGAGGACGCCATCGTTCGCTCCACGGAAAGCTCATTTGCCAACTGATTCAAAGGTGGGAGCCGCTTTCGAACCATTGGGCGACTGTGACTACCAATGAGGATTTTTAAAAATTCCTCTAGAGTCTCTTTTGCCAACCGTTTCAGGGTTTAAGGCAACTCTTCAAACTGTAGCAGCTAAAGAGGAACAAGCTCCACCGTGTCTAAGTCTATCGATCATTCCCTTACTTTGATCCTGTCAGCTCCCTGCGACGGGAACGAAAAAGTGGTTTTTAGGGACCATAGTAGTCTCATTTCGGTGGTAGTTTGATAAAACAGCTTTTCGTCGATATCTGAAAGTAATGGTTATGGCATTGCTGTTGGGAGTTAATTTTAGTAAAACTAGAATATACAATTCTTGGCGACGTACATGACTATTATATGATTATACAGTTGATATAATGGGCTGATGTAATGATAGATTTTGTTTGTTTGTATTTTTCCTTATAAACTACACTGCGAAGCCGTGTACAGTTCAGTTACTGTTACGTGGTGCTTATTCTGGTGTTAAATTAGCATATTTGTGGTTCCTCCGTGTTCATTTCGCGGTGGGCTGAAAAAATATGACATTAATTTGCAACGCTGATAAAGTTGCATCTATTTGTAATTTTCGCTTATTGTTTTTATTTAGGTACCACACACCAAACGTAGTTTTTATCAAAACGGAGGATCCGGATTTACCTGCGTTTTACTTTGATCCGTTAATTAATCCAATCACTCACCGGCATGAACAGAAGGTAAGTTGCCTTGCAGCTGGTCTCTTATTGCAGCCGTTCGTTACAGATCGCGGAACCAGTTCCGGACGATGACGAAAATTACAAACTGCCGGATTTCATTGAACCGATATTTGCGGATGTGCCCCTTTACACTGAAAATACAGCAAACGGCATCGCGTTGCTCTGGGCCCCGAGGCCTTACTGTCAGCGTTCTGGCAAAACCAGGAGAGCGATCGATGTACCGTTAGTAAAATCTTGGTAAGTAGTTTAGTTTTTGTCATTGATTATGGCAGCTAAATGTCATTTATGAATGTGCCATGAAAATGGCACGTTGAATTCTTAAGATAAGGTGGCAGTGTTACGCAGGATTGCGTAAGTATACTCCTGTACCCATTTTTATGATGAATCCCAGTGGTTTTTAAGCCAAATCATGAATTAGAAGTTTATTTATCGTAATAGACTCGTGCTGTTTTATCTACTCGTTTTTATTATGTATCATATGGTTTCTTTGACGGTTTCGCAGGTTTTGACATGTCATTGACTTATCTGTTTTGATAATTCTTGCGTGGTCAACTTCAGACTCATATTTTTGAAACAGGGATGACTTCGCTTTATTCTTTACCTAGCGTGCTTCCTTTACCAGAAGGACCTCTATTCCAGAAAACTGCCTTAGGTTTTTTTCGGTCTTTTGTCATATCTCCGGTTACGCCTCACATCGTTTCGTATCATTCTTTATGATATAGCGGAACCGTTTCTTTGGTTTCCCGGAACTGTTTCCCATTCTTGTCTTCACTGACGTTATCGTTAATTCTTGGACCACCTTTCAAACGTACTCATCGAATCTTCTTTTCACGTGGCCGAAGGAACAACGCCTGGTTTCGATCAGCTTTTCTGCCGATCGCTGACAGCAAATCCATCTTTCCATTCTCATTGCAGCTTAGTTCATCTGCTGCTCATGTCTTTCCTTTCTCTAGTCAGACCTTCTGCTCCGTACAGAGGTACCGGTCTCATTCTCTGTGAACTTTTCGTTTTAGTTTGATGGGCATTTTGTCACACGTGTCTCTATGTGAGTAACGCTTTTTTCGATCGATTTTCACATTGTCTTGTAGGTCTGAGCCAAAATAATTGAATTCTTGGGTTTGAGTCAGCAAATGCTAACTACTTTCAGTAATTCGAAGAATTGCCTAAAACAGCCGCCAGGTGATTTGATTTGCCTTTCATGAATCGAAGGCTTTTTTTCGAAGACCGTTTTCCATATTTCTTGCTTTTACTGTTTCTCCGCTTTCGCTGCTAAGCCCTATATTCATATTAAACTGTTTCCTGCAGATCTTAAGGGTAGAAATGGATTCATTGTTGAAACTTGACAGACACCTGTCACACGGAATTTCAGTTTCACCGCATGTACTTTTAAGCTTGAACTTTTCAGGGATGGTTAACTTATATTTTATTGTATTATGGGTATAATTATATACGTCGTGAGTATAAGATGGCATGCAGTGTTAAATTTTGTCTCGAATTTCCTTAAAATGCATTTTATATTCAGGTATCGGGAGCACTGTCCATCGGGGATGCCAGTGAAAGTGCGAGTGTCGTATCAGAAACTGCTGAAAGTATACGTTTTGAACGCACTTAAGCATCGACCTCCAAAGCCCCAAAAGCGAAGGTATGCTTCTTGGGAGTACTACAGTTTTTCGGTCACAGTCATTTCGTTTTGTTGTATCTTTCAGGTACCTCTTCCGCTCCTTCAAAGCGACAAAATTTTTTCAAATTACTTCGCTGGATTGGGTCGAAGCCGGCCTGCAAGTCTGTCGCCAAGGTTACAACATGCTAAACTTATTGATCCATCGCAAAAATTTGAATTACCTCCACCTCGATTACAACTTCAATTTAAAACCCGTCAAAACGCTGACAACCAAAGAGCGTAAGAAATCTCGATTCGGTAATGCCTTCCATCTATGCCGTGAAATACTGCGTCTTACCAAGTTGATCGTTGATAGTTACGTACAGTATCGCCTGAATAACGTTGATTCGTATCAAGTAAGTTTTTTAATGAATACTTGTATTATGGTTATTTTATTGTCCTTTTTAGCTTGCTGATGGATTGCAGTACATATTCGCTCACGTTGGCCAGTTGACCGGTATGTACCGATATAAGTACAAACTGATGAGGCAAATAAGAATGTGCAAAGATCTGAAGCATCTTATATACTATCGTTTCAATACGGTACTTTATTATTTCATTTCATTTATTGTGCCATTAACTGAACTGTTTCAGGGTCCAGTAGGCAAAGGACCGGGGTGCGGTTTTTGGGCGCCTGGATGGAGAGTGTGGTTGTTTTTTATGCGCGGCGTAACACCGCTGCTTGAACGCTGGCTGGGAAACTTGTTGTCACGACAGTTCGAAGGGCGCCACAGCAAAGGCGTGGCGAAAACAGTCACGAAGCAGCGTGTGGAAAGTCACTACGACCTTGAACTGCGTGCAGCAGTGATGCACGACATTTTGGACATGATGCCAGAGGGTATCAAGCAGAACAAGGCGCGAACCATCCTGCAGCACCTCGGTGAGGCTTGGAGATGTTGGAAGGCGAATATTCCTTGGAAGGTGCCGGGCTTGCCAACACCGGTTGAGAACATGATTCTGCGCTACGTGAAGGCGAAAGCCGACTGGTGGACGAACACCGCGCACTATAATCGTGAACGCATTCGTCGTGGCGCCACTGTCGATAAGACTGTCTGCAAAAAAAATCTCGGCAGATTGACACGATTGTACCTGAAGGCCGAACAGGAACGTCAGCACAACTACTTGAAGGTAGAGCTCTTCATACTGTTTTGTAACAGATTTTTTTGGAGGTTTCATACGCAGATTTTAGGACGGTCCATACATCAGTCCAGAGGAAGCAGTTGCCGTGTACACAACAACAGTTCACTGGCTGGAGAGTCGCCGTTTCAGCCCAATCCCTTTCCCACCATTGTCTTACAAGCATGATACAAAGCTGTTGATTCTGGCCTTGGAGCGGCTCAAGGAAGCGTACAGTGTCAAGAACCGACTCAATCAGTCCCAGCGTGAAGAACTGGCCCTCATCGAACAAGCGTACGACAATCCTCACGAAGCGCTGTCCCGTATCAAGCGGCATATGTTGACGCAAAGAGCATTCAAAGAGGTATGTTTGCTTTCAAGTTTCATTCATGGTATGCAATTTCTGTGAGTCTATTTCTGAGGTTATATCCCGAGTGCGCAAATTCAAAAGCATGGTAGGCTAACATGTTCTTTCCATCATTTGCGGCCAAATATGAGCAGGTCATATGATTTGTTTAAAGTACAATCGATGCACGTCAAGAAATGTGAATTGAACTTTTCTAGACGGTAAACGTTTCCTTTGTAATTCGAAAACACGCGGGAACGACTTGATGTTCAGATTATTTGGTCACTGATGAAACTGAGCACAGAACAGAGATTAGATTAACGTCGACACGTTTATGGTGAACCCACAAAAAATGTCGAGTGACTGACGAATTTCTGAAAATTTAAAATGTCAATTATTACATTTCTGCCGGTTGGCACGGAGTTATTGCATGATTTGTTGCTCTTAGTAGCTTTTAGTGCATTTGTTTAACTATTACACGATTTAATATATTTTGATGTGCTGATATTGGATGATTTTGGCCTGTCTAAATGATCCGTTGCTTTAAAACGGGATATCCATTTAATGTCAGGTAAATTAGTGGCTTGCCTCGTAGCCGTCCCTGCGTTCGGATTCCTATTCGACGACTAAACATGAAGCTAATTTAAATGCCTTAGACGTAACATGCGGGTTTTATCATTGATCAGGTTTTAACGTAAACGCCGCTTTTGAGGTTGGTATCGAATTTATGGACTTGTATTCACATCTGGTGCCGGTCTATGACATTGAACCTCTCGAAAAGGTCACCGACGCGTACTTGGATCAGTACCTTTGGTACGAAGCAGATAAGCGTCGCTTGTTTCCTCCGTGGGTTAAACCAGCTGATTCTGAACCACCACCGCTCTTGGTGTACAAGTGGTGCCAAGGTATGCTTATGCTTCCTTCTAATAAACTTTATTTTACCTACTAAATGGTATATTTAAGGCATTAACAACTTACAAGACGTCTGGGAAACTTCTGATGGGGAATGTTCAGTGATGCTCGAAGCCAAGTTTGAAAAGCTATATGAGAAAATCGATTTAACGTTGCTGAATCGTCTGTTGCGTTTGATTGTGGATCACAATATCGCTGATTACATGACGGCAAAAAATAACGTTGTAATAAATTACAAGGACATGAACCACACCAATTCTTACGGTATTGTACGCGGCTTGCAGTTCGCTTCTTTTATTGTACAGTACTATGGTCTTGTACTGGACCTTCTTGTCCTTGGATTGCGCCGCGCCAGTGAAATCTGTGGACCGCCTCAGTGTCCAAATGATTTCTTAACCTATCAAGATGTCACCACCGAAATGGTCCATCCGCTTCGACTGTATTGTCGTTACGTTGATAAAATCTGGATATTTCTAAGGTATGTTCTGGTTTTGAATCTTTATTATTTATTATTTTGAATCTATTTATCGTTAAAATTACTGTACGTTTAAGCATTATTTATTTTTATCTTAGTCAGGCGTTTCCCTATTTTATAGGGCTTTAGAATTTTATCTGACTTTCAAGCTTTCAAAAATGCTACCCATCGCTGATTTTCAGGTTCAGTTCTGATGAAGCCAAAGATCTGATACAACGGTATTTAACCGAGCATCCTGATCCTAACAACGAAAATATCGTCGGCTACAACAACAAGAAATGCTGGCCACGCGACGCGCGTATGCGACTGATGAAACATAACGTAAATCTGTATGTGCTACTATTTTAGTTGTTTATGCGTTTTTTATGACCCTGCTTTTTCAGGGGAAGAGCCGTATTTTGGGATATAAAGAATCGGTTACCTCGGTCGGTGACCACCATCGAGTGGGAGAATAGTTTTGTATCCGTCTATAGCAAGGACAACCCAAATCTCCTATTCGATATGTGTGGATTCGAATGTCGTATCCTTCCAAAGTGCCGCATGTCACATGAAGAGTTCACGCATCGGGACGGTGTTTGGAATTTGCAAAACGAAGTTGGTTTTTTTTTTCAACGTTTCCGTCGTCAAGTCGTAGTCACTTATCTTTTGATTTTCAGGTAACGAAGGAACGAACCGCACAGTGTTTCCTGAAAGTCGACGATGAATCGATGCAACGCTTTCACAATCGTGTTCGTCAGATCCTGATGGCTTCAGGCTCTACTACATTCACGAAGGTGTGCTTTAGCTGCTTTTTTCTATTATGCTAAATTTGCAGTCATTTTTTATAACAACAAGCATGAAACTTTGATTGAATCATTTTCACATCTGGAGACAAATGTTATCGAAACGTATACTTTTGAGACAGTTATGTAAACAGACATTAAAAAAGTATAAATGCATACTAACATTAATTTCAGAAGTTACACCCATTACATGGCCAACAAGATCGTTAACAGACAAATCGCCTTAAGCTGGTAGGCTTAATTCATACCGCGAGAAAGAGCGTTCTAAATCTACGGTCTTATCACTTTAACTTTTTTTAGCTAGTGGCATGTTTTCATCGGTATTATAATTGCCGCGAGAAAAAAAGAAAATTGACTTGTACCTAAGTTAGGGAAACGTATTGTCGTATTCTCATTATTTTCTATTCACTAATGTTTCTGGTGTTTGTCTTCAGTGACGGCCATAAAGCTTCGTCAATCTGTACTCTGATTTCCACGGGTAGATGTCCACCACATGAGTGTAGTATATGTTTTCTCTATTCATTTGGATGGGGTTGCTTTCGTATATTTACTTAAGAAGGATAACAAATGAGTTATCCTGCAGTCTAGTAGTAGTACCTACAATGTATATGACTAGTAAAGGTGTAGTAATAAACCGAGACTTGTAGTGAGGTAATTCTTTGTATGATAGCCTAACTCATATAGTTTACTTCGACAAATAACCGTCAAATTTCACAGTGTCTATTGAGGATGATCGTTAACGTCGGCTATTTCACATGCGTCGGCGTTTTAGTTTATGTAATCTTAGCATAGAATTCGCTTTTTAAGCATCGTTTGATCATGACGGATCAAGATGCCGCGTTTTGTATCGGTTTCTTAAGTTTCAGATGAATATATTCATATTTTCATTGCCAGCGAAATGCAGAAACGTATGTTGATATTCTCGCTGATTCGATGCCTCATTAATTCGATTATTCTG